ATACATTGAAGTTTTGTAAAGGTTTAGTCGGACACGGGGAATGTCGTAGAAATGTTTGTGTCTGGTGTTATGCCTGTGGGTTCTGTCACAACTATCAAGAAAGCGTTTTAGGTCAAGGTTGATATTGGAGTTTAAGGTCCTGTAGATGTAGATTGCACAGTAGTAAGTGTGCATGTACTGAACAGGGAGTAAGTTTAGATCTATGAAGAGTGGGGGGGGTGTTGCCAGGGAGGGGATTTAGTGATTATTCTTACTGCAGCTTTTTGTTGGGTTATTATTGGCTTTAGGTGTGTTGCTGCAGTTGATCCCCAAGCACAAATAGCATAGGTGAGGTATGGATAAATAAGCGAGTGGTATAGTCATAGTCGTAGATGGGTTCCTTAACCTTTCTGGATTTTTTTTTTACTTTAGCTTGTATTGTATTTTTAAGTCTGTCTTGGTATCTGTACTTGCATCTGTCATCTATAGTGCTGTGTCCCCGTCAGTGTTTATATTCTCATTGCATTAAACATTATCCAGGCTCATTCTTCCTCTTTTGTGCTTCACATTCGATGTTTGCTCTATCATAAAGTTTGTACACGCAAGTAAATGCCGTTTATTATTGTGTTTATTCATTCTTCTGTGTCTGGCATTAAGGTGCTGTGGCACCCCCTACAAGTTTTGGCGCTTCCATGTGAATATAATATTTCTGGCATTGAATTTGTAAACCCCTGAACATGGTCGGTGGTTTGAAGCTTTGGATTTCCCACAGTCAGTTGTCCCGTTTTAAAATTACTAATTGTCAGTCAACACACGCGAGTGCTGGTAGCATAATTAATGCATGATGGCACCCAACGAGCGGCTTTTCAAATAAAAAGGAACACATGGACTTCACATCGTTGGCACTTTTGGAAGTCATTGCTCTAACGACGAAACACTGTCCATAGCAGATTCACTCCTGGTTATGTCGTGGATGAGTTCCCTCTTTGTGCAGTGTTCGCCTGGTTGTTGTAGCCATCTAAATCACAATTGCTAATTACCCTATTTATCTAAGGGCAGTCACAAGTTTCAGCCCCTTGTTTATGCCCTCCTTACTGAATGTGCCATTTTGGATGCTTTCTGTGAGCATCAATATTAAACGCATTACCACATTATTTTCCTGTTTGTCTTTGCCCTGTAAATCCTCTTTGCATCCTTTATATAGTATATGCTTCACTTATCTTTTGCTATGTTTTCACATCTGCCATGCAGTGCTGAATGACCCTCAACACAGCTTGGTACCAGGATGTTTGCCGACTAGTGTGGGGTCGCATCCTGGGCACCAAATTAACCTAATGTACCCGAAATGCTCTGCATAATGGGCTTTCTATATATATAGTATGTTATGAATATCAGCTAGATCTGTGTAAGTTGTATCATGTACTTGTAGAAATAAAGATTATTATTTTTATTATTATTGCTTTCCCCTCATGGGAGGTTCCTTGATGCTGGTGAGGGGCTCTTGATCTAGGAAATTGGATCTGTGCTTCAGTTCCCTGAACTGAGCCTGAATACCTTCCATTTCCCTCCCCACAGGCGCTGTATAATCCTACGGGTTTAGCGCTCCCCCATGATTACAGTATTATAATAATACTATTACCCTCATCCTTCATTATGCATGTAACTGATAATTGGTTAGCCTTGAATTATGATGGGGAATGATGTAAATCATGTAGAAAAAGCTTGAACCCTTCAGGAGAGGTGCAGTGATGCTGGTGAGGGGTTCTTGGTCCAAGGAATTGGATCTGTTCTTCTGTTTATTGGATCAGACTCGGTTGTATTCAATTTCCCATGCACTGTAAAACCCTTATAAAATTAGCATTCCCCAAGAGAATAATAATACGTACATACTTACAAAAAAATTAATAAAACAAGAATAATAATGTTAGGTTTTAAATAAAACTGTTAGGAAAAATAACAATTTTACATTAAGAACTTTTTTTTATCAGTTTATCTGACATCCATGGCAGTGTTGTATGACCCTTTTGAGTTTACCACTTCACTTGATTATACCTGGAGTTTACCTGGAGAGAGTTCCGGGGGTCAATGCCCCCGCGGCCCGGTCTGTGACCAGGCCTCCTGGTGGATCAGAGCCTGATCAACCAGGCTGTTACTGCTGGCTGCACGCAAACCAACGTACGAGCCACAGCCCGGCTGATCAGGAACCGACTTTAGGTGCTTGTCCAGTGCCAGCTTGAAGACTGCCAGGGGTCTGTTGGTAATCCCCCTTATGTATGCTGGGAGGCAGTTGAACAGTCTCGGGCCCCTGACACTTATTGTATGGTCTCTTAACGTGCTTAGTGACACCCCTGCTTTTCATTGGGGGGATGTTGCATCGTCTGCCAAGTCTTTTGCTTTCGTAGTGAGTGATTTCGTGTGCAAGTTCGGTAAGTCCCTCTAGGATTTTCCAGGTGTATATAATCATGTATCTCTCCCGCCTGCGTTCCAGGGAATACAGGTTCAGGAACCTCAAGCGCTCCCAGTAATTGAGGTGTTTTATCTCCGTTATGCGAGCCGTGAAGGTTCTCTGTACATTTTCTAGGTCAGCAATTTCACCTGCCTTGAAAGGTGCTGTTAGTGTGCAGCAATATTCCAGCCTAGATAGAACAAGTGACCTGAAGAGTGTCATCATGGGCTTGGCCTCCCTCGTTTTGAAGGTTCTCATTATCCATCCTGTCATTTTTCTAGCAGATGCGATCGATACAATGTTATGGTCCTTGAAGGTGAGATCCTCCGACATGATCACTCCCAGGTCTTTGACGTTGGTGTTTCGCTCTATTTTGTGGCCAGAATTTGTTTTGTACTCTGATGAAGTTTAATTTCCTCGTGTTTACCATATCTGAGTAATTGAAATTTCTCATCGTTGAACTTCATATTGTTTTCTGCAGCCCACTGAAAGATTTGGTTGATGTCCGCCTGGAGCCTTGCAGTGTCTGCAATGGAAGACACTGTCATGCAGATTCGGGTGTCATCTGCAAAGGAAGACATGGTGCTGTGGCTGACATCCTTGTCTATGTCAGATATGAGGATGAGGAACAAGATGGGAGCGAGTACTGTGCCTTGTGGAACAGAGCTTTTCACCGTGCCTGCCTCGGACTTTACTCTGTTGACTACTACTCTCTGTGTTCTGTTAGTGAGGAAATTATAGATCCATCGACCGACTTTTCCTGTTATTCCTTTAGCACGCATTTTGTGCGCTATTACGCCATGGTCACACTTGTCAAAGGCTTTTGCAAAGTCTGTATATATTACATCTGCATTCTTTTTGTCTTCTAGTGCATCTAGGACCTTGTCGTAGTGATCCAATAGTTGAGACAGACAGGAGCGACCTGTTCTAAACCCATGTTGCCCTGGGTTGTGTAACTGATGGGTTTCTAGATGGGTGGTGATCTTGCTTCTTAGGACTCTTTCAAAGATTTTTATGATATGGGATGTTAGTGCTATCGGTCTGTAGTTCTTTGCTGTTGCTTTACTGCCCCCTTTGTGGAGTGGGGCTATGTCTGTTGTTTTTAGTAACTGTGGGATGACCCCCGTGTCCATGCTCCCTCTCCATAGGATGGTAAAGGCTCGTGATAGGGGCTTCTTGCAGTTCTTGATGAACACGGAGTTCCATGAGTCTGGCCCTGGGGCAGAGTGCATGGGCATGTCATTTATTGCCTGTTCGAAGTCATTTGGCATCAGGATAACATCAGATAGGCTTGTGTTAACCAAATTCTGTGGCTCTCTCATAAAAAAGTAATTTTGATCTTCAACTCTCAGTCTGGTTAGTGGCTTGCTAAAAACTGAGTCATATTGGGACTTGAGTAGCTCACTCATTTCCTTGCTGTCATCTGTGTAGGACCCATCTTGTTTAAGTAAGGGCCCAATACTGGACGTTGTTCTCGACTTTGATTTGGCATAGGAGAAGAAATACTTTGGGTTTCTTTCGATTTCATTTATGGCTTTTAGTTCTTCCCGCGATTCCTGACTCCTATAAGATTCCTTTAGCTTAAGTTCGATGTTTGCTATTTCTCTGACCAGTGTCTCCCTACGCATTTCAGATAGATTGACCTCTTTTAGCCGCTCTGTTATTCTTTTCCATTGCCTGTAAAGAGAGCGCCTGTCTCTTTCTATTTTACATCTACTCCTCCTTTTTCTTAGAGGAATAAGTCTTGTGCATACATCGAGTGCCACCAAGTTAATCTGTTCTAGGCATAAGTTGGGGTCTGTGTTGCTTAGTATATCTTCCCAGCTTATATCGGTTAGGACTTGGTTTACTTGGTCCCACTTTATGTTTTTGTTATTGAAGTTGAATTTGGTGAATGCTCCCTCGTGACTAATCTCATTTTGTCGGTCTGGGGCTCTGCGCATACATGTCTGAACCTCAATTATGTTGTGATCTGAGTATATTGTTTTTGATATGGTGACATTTCTTATCAGATCATCACTGTTAGTGAAGATGAGGTCTAGTGTATTCTCCATTCTAGTAGGCTCTATTATTTGCTGGTTTAAATTGAATTTTGTGCAGAGATTTAAAAGCTTGTGTGAGTGTGAGTTTTCATCAGAGCTGCCTCCTGGTGTTATTACTGCAACAATATTATTTGCTATATTCCTCCATTTTAGGTGCCTTAAGTTGAAATCCCCCAGGAGCAAGATGTTGGGTGCAGGAGCTGGAAGATTTTCCAGACAGTGGTCAATTTTTAACAGCTGTTCCTGGAATTGCTGGGATGTTGCATCCAGAGGCTTGTAGACTACCACAATGACTAGGTTTTGGTTCTCGACCTTTACTGCTAAAACTTCCACTACATCATTTGAGGCATTAAGCAGTTCTGTGCAAACATTATTATTATTATTATTATTAAGACATTCATATATTGTAGTATCATTGTCTATTAATATCCCTTTGCAGGAATGCTAATCCTTAATGTATAAAGCTCCTGTAATACATGAGTGGTCATATGGCATTGTGTACTTAAAATCCTATATTAACCTAATTTTGGCAGGTGGTGGATCAAGCATCCGCAGTGTCTCCAGCCTTCCAGACCTGCAATATCCAACCATCAACCACCCTGGTCTTACTCACACCCCACGATTCTCTGAAACCAACCCTGGGCCCTCACATGCCCACTCTGCCTTTGATGTGATGGTTGGCAGGTGAATCATCATGCAGTTCCTTTCTTGTTACATACCATCTTACATGAGTCAGTAGGTCACTGTACTGTCTGTGGACAAAAAAAAAAAAAATTCAATATTATCACAAGTGTATCTTAGTCCCATAGGGATCCTTAACATTTCTAGATATTTTTTATTTCAGCTTATACTGTATTTTTAAGTTTGTCTTGGTTATCTTTAATTATTGCAATTTAATTTATTTCCTCATTTTTGCCACATGTAGCATGTTTATAAATTCACCTACAGCACTTGTATTGTATTAATTTTTTTTGTCATGAAATTTAAGTGAATTCACACATGCAAACAGCTCTATTCTCTCCATTTTGCATATACAGGCTGTACTATCCTCTGTGGGCTTTGTAGGTGTCAATTTGCCACTTTATTAAAGATATTAGATTACTGTACATGTATTAGTTTTCATACAATAACTTTGAATGCCTCTGCAGGTTGGATTTAAACTCAAATGCCAATATTTAACTGCATCAAAGATATTTCAAATGCTTTTGAGTGCACTGACATGGAGGGGGCTGAGCTTATGGGGTACAGGTACACAATGTTTAGATCACGCAGCAACTGATGCACATTAGCTTGATACATAGCGATAATCCTACTCTTTTACACTTGCCGACAGTCCTGATCTCCAATTTATACTTACTGACAGTCTTGATCTCTCCCATTTATTCATACTGACAGCCCTGATCTCCAAATCCTTTTAATACATATAGTACTGTATTTGTATTTTTTCTTAATGCACGGTGTCCCATAGCTTGATCACTAGTGCACTCAGCTTACACACTGAGGTCCAGGGCTCGAATCCCCAGTACGGCTGGATAACATTAGGACGTGTTTCCATAGACATCTGGTGTCCATGTTCACCCATCAGTATAAAATCGGTACCTGGGTGTTAATCGAATGGTGTGGGTCACATCCTGGGATAAAACTGACCTAATTTGCCCGAAATGCTCTGCATAACAAGCGGCTTTCTATATACTGTAGTAGTATGTCATTGATGTCAGCTAGGCCTGTATACCTTGTACATGTACTTGTAGAAATAAAGATATTATTATTATTATTCTAAGATTTTTGCCTTTTTTTTCCAAAGTGGCAGTGGTGCTAGGCGGAAGGGGTTGTACTGGGATAGTGACAGTGGTGGCTCAACAGACTCTCTTATTGATGAAGCAGAGCATATCACCACTACACCCCTGGACCCAAACATTTACCATATTTATCCTCCTGCTCATGGTATGTACTGAACTTTTATACATACAAAAGATAAATATGGCCAAGTGGCTGGTGAACAACTGATGAGTGTATTTTTTCTGCAAAAATGTGGAAGCAAAATAAACATAAATAATAATAGCTTGGAAAGACTTAAATTGTCCTCCAGGTATAAAGTTGCAATACAAAGGAAAAGATTACTGTACATGCAAGATCTTTTGAATGTCAAATTACCAAAATTAAACTTTAAATTTTAAAATTAACTGTAATAAGGTTAAGAATAGATAAACACATATTCTATAGAGTGGAATTACATAACTTTGGATACCGAATGCATTGTAGTTCTTAGCTCATGATTGATTTACTGTACTGACAGAGTACATTTCATAATATTATAGTATACCATAATTTGAAGTGATAGGTGTAATAGTGGTATTGCATTGTTATTTATCTCTCATAATAAAATCCATGAGTCTGTCAACAGACAGGGATATGCCACAGAGAAAACGGCACAAACAGCAGAGGCGGAGAACACGTTCACACCAGGGAGGATTCAGTGCTTGGAGAAGTGAAGCTGATTCTACTAGTTTAGGTTAGTTGTGTGCTGAAACTTTACAGCAGGATTTATCTGTCTTGACCATGTTTGTACTGCAATTTGGAGTGCCGTTGTGAAATGTGTTTATACCCACTTGTACTGACCATACCACGGTCATTACGATTTCGTGAGTCACTTGTACTGTATTTATTAAAACATCTTAATACAGTACACTCTTAAATTACTGTTAATCTCTTTCTTTTCAATAGTTCATAAGAAGGTAATTGGTTTTCCATTTATTCATTAAACTGATGAACATTTTATCCAGTCATTATCAGAACTAGTACAGTTATAGGTGTGAAAAAGTGAATGGCATAAACATAATAAAAATTTCACTTTTCTTGTGTAAAGGAGGGCCACTGATGAATTTTAAATATAGTATCTGTATTGGCTTACTTCATATGATGTACAGTAATTCTTTGCTATATATATTTCAGAATGGTTTTACTAATTTTTGTTTCATTTATCAAGGGATTATCAAATGACATTGAAGATTCACAATGCTACAGATAATTTTGTTCCACAGCTGCCAGCAGTGGGCGTCCATACCTGCCATACCGTGGTGATCAGCTGTCTCCTGGCCAGCAGGTAAAGGTGCTAGCACCAGGTGGAGGAGTAGCTGTAGCTAGAGTCCTGACAAATCAAAAGTCTTCACGGCAGATCATTGACAAGAATCGTCATATTTCTGACCCTATTTCCTGTGCTACTGTGACAGTCATTCTGCTGAGTGAACCAAACAGGTGAGAATGAGCAGAGGTCATATTGGGTTATGACACTGAGCATATGTAGCCATGTTGAAATGAACAGTTCGGCCATTCCTTTTATTATGGTTGAAACAGGAGGATGCAAAAGACAATCTGGGGATAGGGCGACATAACCAAATTATCCCCATTTAAAGTAAAGTAAAGTTCCTTTCAGATACTGTACACTTAAACATAATAGTATATATTAAATGAAAAATGAATCCATAATTTAATATACAGTATATCACTCCACATAGATCTCCTTCTGAAATAAAAAAGTTGGCTTCAAAATAATTTATTATCATGGCTTCAAAATAATTTATAATTACGGTACTGTATATAACAATTTGAAACAGCATAGCTGTTTGTTATATACATTACAGTAATTATACAAATTAAAGCTATAAGTAGAGACTTAACTGATGTGAAAACTCATTCATATATGTAGTACAGTAAATATATGATTTTCAGTATTAATACAGTTAGCTTGTGTTTCAGGTTGCAAGGAAGTGTGGTGACTGTTCCCCTGGAAAAAGTCCTCCTTGCTTGGCCTAAAGTCTGACAACACATCATATCTACAATCCATAATCGAGCAAGGGAAATATTATTGCTTATTTTTCAAGTAAAATTATTATAATATACTGTATTTTGTATCATGCAGTTCATAACAAGAGAATTGTGTGCTAAATATTCATTATTATTTGTGAATTTGTTACAGTACACTAAACAACTAAAAATTAAAATTACTTACCATTTGTTAAAATGTTATAAACAAATTGCAGTATTTTCTTGCACTTGTTGAATTATGTTGGCCCACCAAAATGAAAGGTAAAATCTAAGTCAAACATTCTCTTATTATTAATGTCCATCCTGGTACATAAAAGGACACAACAATATGTCACATTAGTTGCACTTGTGTCCTTTTACTTAGCATATTGTTGGTAATTCTACCAACATGAACACTCCTGGTACAGTATATACAAAAATTAATTGAGTTTCCAAACATGGAAGTATTTCTTGCTAATATCTTCTACAGCAGTGTGTTTTGTATCCTCAGTCTAATCCCACTAGCTAATGTCCATGACCAGCAAGGAGAAACAAAGCAGAAATGAAGATATACTAGATGAGGCAACAGTCAGAAAAGATAAAAAAGAAAAGTGAATCTGGATAATTACACCATGAAGAGATGGGTGTGGTTTTGAACACTGCTTTCCTTCAAGCCAGTTCCTTTGACATTCCAGTTTTTTGGATGGATAAAGACACTGTTGTAGAAGGTGTGTTAAGAAAGTTTCGAATACCATGTGGTAACAGGATAAATATGTATACGAGGCATGATGAAGTGTAAAACGAAGGTAGTCTGCTAGAGTACAGTATGTGCTGGCAGATAAAAGGTATAGTACATGTTTGTACAGAAGTCTGATGTATATTATCAGTAATTACCAGGTATTTTGTGGTAATTAGAGCAAGAGGAAGGAGCACAAGGCAGGGTAGATTATGTCAGTAGGTAAAAGGATAAGTGAATTAATTAAATTAAGAGATAGTTGGTGAGAGGTATGAGCAAATGTTGGAAAAAAGGATAGCAAGCATGAAAATAATAAAGAGGACATAAAAGAAATGTTCTTTCAACACACCAGCTGCATTCCACCAAAGGAGAAATGTATGGTAGTTTAATAAAAACTAAGCAGGCAACACAGCCATTGTGTATTGATACCTTCAGTTACATATGTGTGGTACACAGGCGGAGGCTTGACTGACGAGCTAGGTGCCTCAAGCATCACCAGGTACCTGCACAACATGTGGTTACAGGAGGATAAGTACTTAAGGGGGAAGACGAATTATCAGTGGAATAATGAAGGTGGGATTGTGGTGGTTATGGTAGGTGGGTGGACTGTCATTGGATTACATATGTGCCCTTTGGAAAGAGCTAGGGAGCAAGCAATGGTCAATGTATTATCTCTGGGCTACCTGCCTTGGTGAGAAATAGCCGATGGCAAAACTATTATGTATTACATTTTATAGAAATTTGGGAATTACAATTTGGTTTAGTTTGTGAAAAGTACAGCATATGGGGAAACTGAAAATCTGGATTTCGTCAGGGATGCCAGATTTTTCGTTTTGTAAGAGATAAGATATAAAACTGTTGACAAATATTAGAATGTTTGCTGAAGATTTTGAATTTGTCACTATCCTCTAAATCTAGGAAAAGTCCTATTGTTCTGACGAAGACGTTGCAAGAAGTCAGAAAATTCGTAAGAGATTTTGCAATTTTGGTTCTTTTTTTTTTAATTTTGCATTTACTTCATGCTAAAGATGATGGATCTGTGAACATTTTTCTTACAATGTAATTTTTTATTAAGAGCAAATCTGTGTTCTATGTAGCTAAAAAAAATATTTATTGTAATGCCCATAATGCTCTCTTTGAGGTCAGTAAGTGTTATGTAATAGAGGATACTTTTGTTTTCTGCATATATTAAGATGATGCTCTTGCATACACTGTGTCAGTATTCTAATGATAATCATACTAACGTGTGTAAATTTTATCTTAAAATTATCTAAGAATTAAGCATGGCATCTTTGTCAGCATGATTCTTGTGAAGGTCTTTAGCATTTTTCAAGATCTGGAAAGAATTTTTCATAATTTTTCTTTGTGCTCGTGATGATACAAGATACAGTGCCAGAAAGAGTAACTAACTCCATTGCAGCTTTCAAAATGAAAATGTTAAGTGTTTGGTTAAGTAAGAATTCTTTGTACTTTTCTGAACTTTGTAATAAATATTTACACAATGTCTAAAACAAAGTGCGATGCATGACTCATTCAGTCAGCATATTATGGTACTGCCATTTATCATTGTGCAAACATAATAAAAATTGCTAAATAACACATGGAATTTTATTTCCTTCATTGAATGGAATGTATACCTGCCACTTGTCATATACAATATTAAAAAAAAAGTGCTTTAACAACATATTTTACTTTCATCATTATATGCCCTTCATGAGAACTTTATGCAGATTATTATTAAACATTTATTATTTTTATTTTATCCTTTTAGTTTTATGTCATAGATAAAAAATCTTTATAAAACAAATTATTACCCTACTCAAAACAGCAAATAGCCATTCCTTGTCAAATTATGTACAGGTACTGGTACTGCAATTTGAAATTCCTAATTATTTAATGCATTTTAATCCCTTCAAAGGAAGGGCCTTGGTCATGGAATTGGAGGTATCCTCCACTTCCTTGGATCAAATCTGATGGTCCCTCATTCCCCAGACTGTGTGATCCCCGTTGGTTTAATACTTCTCCATATATAATTCTTCTTTCAACAAACCGGCTGTATCCCACCAAAGCAGGGTGGCTCAAAACGAAAAACGAAGTTTCTCTTTTTACCTCTAGTAATGTATACAGAAGGGGGTTACTAGCCTCTTGCTCCCGGCATTTTAGTTGCCTCTTACGATACACATGGCTTATGGATGAAGAATTCTGTTCCACTCTCCCATGGAGATAAGAGGAAATAAAAAACGACAAGAACTAGTAAGCAAAATAGAAGAAAACCCAGAGGGGTGTGTATACATACGTTTGTACATGTACGTACTTATGTTTCAGTAACCTCAGCATTACTGTATTCGTGAGTGAGAGCTAAACCCACTGGGAAGTGAAGTGTTCAGTGGTAGCCTGGAACCTAACCAGCTGTATAAGTGGGGTCCTTCTGTATGTGTAGTGTGACCTAATTGTAAGTAAAAGTAGCAAGACATGCCTGAAACCTTGCCTGCTTGAGACAGAAAAAAGACACCAGCAATCCTACCATCATTTAAAACAATTACAAGCTTCCGTTTTACACTCACTTGGCAGGACAGTGTAACTTCCTGGGCAGTTGCTGGGAAGTACTACTGTCAGCTTCCAATTGAGTGTAAATATGGAAGCTTTGTAATTTTTTAAACGAGGATGGGTATGGGTGCATTAAGTATTCACTAAAGTGTGTGTGGTGTGTTGTGTGTGTGTGTGTTGTGTGTGTGTGTGTAGTAGTGGTGTGCGTGTGTGATGTGTGTGTGGTGTGTGACTCAACAATCAATATTTGCACCAATAACTCATTACAGTTGCGACCGGGTGTGGAAGTGTGAATTGCTCATTACTCTATAATTTGTTCATGATTGTAGCCAAAGTATAAACGTAAGTAACCATTCTACAGAATTCATTACCTTTGTAACTTGTGAGCTCATTACCTTTGTACCTAGTTCAGCATCAAAACTTTGGGGGCCCAGTCCCTGGACCCATTACGTACCTCTGTAATCTGTAAATCCCCTTTGTAACTTGTCATGATTGTGACCAGACTTACCTGGAGTTCATTACCTTTGTAAATTGTGAGTTCATTACCTTTGTAAATTGTGAGTTCATTACCTTTGTAAATTGTGAGTTCATTACCTCTGTAACTTGCTCAGCTATCAAAACTTTGGAGTCCAGCCCTGGCCCAAATTTATGTACCTCTGAATCTTTTGACTACCGCCCACAGGATGGGTATGGGGTGCATAATAAACATATTAAACTAACTAACTTGGCAGGACAGTAGTACTTCCCTGGGCAGTTGCTGGGAAGTACTACTGTCCTGCCAAGTGAGTGTAAAATGGAAGCTTGTAATTGTTTTAAATGATGGTAGGATTGCTGGTGTCTTTTTTCTGTCTCAAGCAGGCAAGGTTTCAGGCATGTCTTGCTACTTTTACTTACAATTAGGTCACACTACACATACAGAAGGACCCCACTTATACAGCTGGTTAGGTTCCAGGCTACCACTGTAAAGTGAAAATTGCTGTAAAATGAAACATTCGTTTTTCATTTTCAAATGCATATAAAACCTGATAACATCCTTACACTATCATATATTAAGTGAGCAACAGAGCTAGGCCTAAAAAATGCATATACTATATATACACACATTACATACTTTAAGGTATTTTTATCCTTAGCTTATAGTGAGTGGTGAATATATTGTAGGAAGTCTGAATAAGTAAAGAATGGGTATAACTGATAATTGCTGCACTAGCAAAATGCCGTAAAGAGAAGCACTATAAAGTGGGGCTCTCCTGTATATTAAGGAGCTCCCTTTACTGGGAGTACCTTAATGCTGATGAAGGGCAGTTGATCAAAGGAATTGGAGTTAACCTCTCCTTCCTCGAATTATACCTCCTTACTTTCCATTTCCCTGGTGATGTATAAACTACAAGATAATACTTTTCCATGAACAATTTTAATAATATGGAATCACAATATATAAAAAATCTCATCTCAGATAAGAGGTTTAGTATTACCTAATTATACTTGCTGCTCATGCTCATCTAGTAGTATATAAAGTACCCGGGTGTTTATCTCCTTATACCTGCTACACTCGTTCACCTAGCAAAAAACAGGTGCTACCCTGGGTGTTAATTTCCCTATACCTGCTACACTTGTTCACCTAGCAAAAAACAGGTGCTACCCTGGGTGTTAATCTTACACCTGCTGCCCTTTCTCATCCAGCAGATAAAAGGCACCTGAATGTTAGTCAACTGTTGAAAGTTGTATTCTGAGTTGAGCTGCAGTATACAATAGACAGAACTGAGGTAGGGTAAGAGCTCTTATCATGTATTATAATTATATTTATGGCAAAGCACTAAAAACCACATGGGCCATATAGTACCTGGGGATGTAATCTTGTTGAATTCAATTATTACACTTATGTTATTACAATCATGGGGCAGCATTAAACCCATAGGGGTCCTACAGAGGTTCAATCCAAGGCTGGGGAGGAGCTCCAATTCCTCGGATCAACTGTGGAAAAAAATCAATGGATCCGGGTTTGTGGCCCCGTATAGAGTTGTGGGGTGCGCCTGACCATGGTGTAAGTGCCTTGAATGTAGATGAGCCACACCATATTGCTGTGACCATGTCTCATTCCTTCCCAGGTAAGGAGCTCTTCATCCAGGAACTGGAGCTACCCTCCTCTTCCTTGGATCAAACCTGATAACTTCTCATTCCCAGGGTGTTATGGGACCATACCAGTTTACCACTTCCAAATTAATATAACAATAATAATAATTATTATTATTATTATCAAATAATAATTATAATAATGTGACTGAATCGCCAAATTTTTGAGAGGAATATTGGTAGCCTGAGAGTCTCTTATGAGGTATCAGTAGCCTCACCCTCACTTAATATGCAACTCCCACAACTATATTGCTGATATTAATAATGAATGAGTGCCCTGGTAGGTGTGTCTGTTAATTATATATATTATATTATATAAATATTGTATGATACCTTCACCTGGTTGGTTCCATGTTCGTGATATGTATTCCAAAATGTGGTGTCGTGAATGTTGAGGCTTAAAATCTAATCTTATATTTGCCAAACACGCAAATACCACAGACGTTATTGTGTGATGTCCCATGGGGAGTAGGTGCCTTGAAGCTATGGAAGGGCTGCTGATTTCGTCCCTTCTAGTATCAGCTGCATTGGCTCCCTATCAAAGGTATTAAGCTTAAACTCAAGTATCTTCCTAATATGCTTTAATCTTTTACATCGGGCTCGGGAATGTTCCTGTGAATTACCGCGGACACTTTTAGACTAATGAACCTCGTGCTGTTGGAGTGAAGTCATTCCCAGGAAGAGCATATTCTTACATAGCTCCTAGATTTTTCAGAAAGTTGCTAGTCTGTTGAGTCAGGAATCTGTTCATGCTTTCAAGTCTCAGTTGAAAGCATCTATTTTCTAGAGCTTGTGATCGTATTGTCACTCCTGAATATAAACTTAAGCATTTTTTCATCATTGTTGTTGCATTTCCTCATGCTGTTGCGAGCTCTTGTGAATTTCTTGAAAGAACAGATTCCCTGTATACTCACTTATTTGTGGATGCAGGAGTCGATTATCAGATCCTGATCCTGCTTTTAACTTGCCGCTCCTCTGATTAATTCCCTCTTAGCCTCGGGGGTTCTATCAGACCTGCTCTTGAAATTATGTATGAAAGCTACCTCCACCACTTCCTCACCAAGATCATTCTACTTTCCAACCACTCTGAGACTGAAGAAATACTTCCTAACATCCCAGAGTTCCCATTTCTCGCCACTCAACCTGTCCTTGTCTACTCTGTCAATTCCCCTGAGTATTTTGTATGTTTTTATATCTCCCCTCGTTATTATCCTTCACTGTTGCTTAGTCATTTCTGTTTACCTCTCCCCGTAGCTCAAGCCCTTTAGCTCAGGAACAAGCCTTGTTCCACACTTCTGCACTTTCTCCAGTTTTTTAAGATTTTATTTTCAGGTGCAGGTCTCATACTAGTGTTGCATGTTCCAAGATGGCCCTGACATATTTTGCATAGAGGGGCCCGCAGAAATGTTGAGTCCTGAAGGCTATTCTTAGTTTAGCCAGACAAGCATTGGGCTGTGAGTCTCGGGTAATATACCAGGCACTATGGTCATTTTTAGGTCTTTCTCTTAGAGTGAGGTCTGCAGCTTCTGTTCCCAGACTATACCCCGCTACCGTTCTTGCTTTTCCCCCATTCTTTATGACCTTGCATTCACTGGAATTAAAATCAAACAACCATTTAACTAACCAGTCTTGCATTTTGTCCAAATCCATTTGGAGCGTTTCCTTGTACTCTTGTTTTTCTTCTCATCGGTTTTACGTCATGAATCAATCGCATCTGGAAAGTCATTCACATAAACGAAAAAACAGAGGACCTAATAATGATCCTTGGGGTCCAGTCACTGGACCCATTATGTACCTTTGTAATCTTTTGACTACCGCCCACAGGATGGGTATGGGGTGCATAAAGATATTAAACTAAAGTGTGTGTGTGTGTGTGTGTGTGTGTATACTCACCTATTTGTACTCACCTAT